CAATTTATGGAACGCGCGGCTCCCGAGAGCTCGTCCCGAAGTCGCGAGAGTGAAGACGACACGTCATACACACCGCGGGTTGGCATCGCACGTGGCTGCACGTGGACAAAGCGGCGCTCGCAGAGGCCTCGCGTTGGAGTCGCGACGTCACGGGTCACCTCGCGGCGTTTTAACCACCCGCTTAAATTGCGATGTGGCATATCAATCTTTCACATCACGCGGGAAGTGTCGAATGTAGATTCCAATCGGTTACCAATAAATCATCCCCCTTTAATGCCGCAGCTCCAAGGGCTGCCACCTGCCCGCATTTGACCCGGACTGTCTGGGAATTGCCATCTGTGTTCGGGCGGCAGAAATAGATTTGTAACCCAGATCCGGTATTGGCACCGTGCGGTGAACTGCGCGGTTGTTGATCGCACTCGGCTGACCCCGGGGGGCGCTGCGTCTGGGTTCGGTCTACGGTGGAGAAGGTGGCAAGCAGAGCCCCCCGCCGCCATCGGCTGCCATCGGCGAGTGACGCGCAGTCGTATCGCGTCGTCGTGAGCGATTTGGGAATATCCCGGTGTTGTTTTCTGCATCCCGTCGTGAATATTACGCGGAAGTAATTTGCAACTGTGCTGAGATTATGTTTTTTACTTGGACTGTCGTGGTGGTGGGGGAAAGCCATCCTCTTTGGTCTGTGCAGAACACAACCCTCTCTGCATACAATACATAGCAACAGACAACCAGCCATTTGTGCTACGATGGTAATTGTGAGAAGTGCCATGGCAACGAGACGTTTGTTATCGTGGAACAAAGTTGCCACCGAGGCAGCCAGGGCGATCACATCACAGGGCCCTAAGTGTGAGTGCTTTTAAGTACAGTCATTTGCAACTGCTGCACATAGTGTTTTTAAATATATAAAATGTGATTTTTGACATCTTCTACGGGTAGAAAAAAATATACTCGATCATACCAATAGTTCAATATGTTTGAACAAAAAAGCCGCAGTAAATACCGTGCATAATTCCCGACCCAGGTCACTCATGCGAGCAAGACTTCATCCTCATCTCTCGAGTTCCCACCTGGTCAAACAACATTTACATGAAACGTATCATCACATCATCATCGTCATCGTCTAGTCTCGATGCGACGGCCTCCCATGCAATACTGTCCATCGTCAAAATACTAGCGTGCTTACGTACTGTAGTCGCCAATCGCAATGCACTATTTTGTTAATTTCTTCATGAATAATAAATAAAAGCCAATGCTGCTGTGGCAGCCCATGAGCAGTCGAGTCCCATGAGCACCCACCCACCGCGCTGCTGCCCCTACTGCTGCCCCTACTGCTGCCCCTACTGCACACGTGGGGTGGCCACCCGTCAAGGGTAGTCCCTGGCAGGGATGGCTGCCACGTCGAAGCGCTGCTTGTCGAGTGGCAGCCGCGTGCAGATCTTCTTCTTGTCACTCTTCTGTTGCTGTTGCCATGGTTACTGTTTCCATCTGCTTTAACGCATCGATTCTGGCTGGCACGTTGAGTTCTCAGTCTGTCAGACACCTTTGGTCTCATCCGCACTGTGTTCTACCACCCCTCTGCAGGTCACAATGCACGTACTCGCCCACTGATTGTATTTGATCAGCTAAAGCCCCACTGAGCTATGTAGCTCTTTTTGAGAAACCACCTGGCCATCACGAATGATATCTCAACCAAGTCGATTCCCATTTGTAAATGTATAGCAGCCAACTACTCTCAACACACCTTGTTCTCAATGTGGAGGGAAAAACCGGGGAACCCAGAGAAAGATCCACGTGGCCATGGGAGAACGTTTAAAACTCAAAATATACAGGCGAGGGAGTTTATATCTCGCCACCAACACGCACGCTCACCCACCGACCCACTTAGTCAGACACTGCGCTGCAGGTGGTTACACGTCCTCTCCTCCCTGGCCTACACTCACACACAGCCTGCCATCGCCTCTCTTCCCCAAGTGCTTCAAATAGGCGTGCTCACTTCAAGAAGCGACGTCTCCACAAGTTGCCAATTTTGCCCCCGGTAGTGCTGTTTCTTGCTGGCCACTTTCTACTTTGGGCCAGTGCCCAGCAGCCAGACTCAGCCGGGGGCCTGCCCCGCTTGATCCCCTGCCCCGCTTGACCCCCTGCCCCGCCGTCATTGGTAATTGTGCGCCGACGACACAAATGGAGCACTTGCGGGCGCCAGCGGGCGGGGAGTAGAGCGGGCGGCGAGTCGCGGTGTGCGTGTGGAGGGACTGTTGCTGCTTGACCACCCCGGGGCGTGTGGAGGGACTGTTGCTGCTTGACCACCCCGGGGCGTGTGGAGGGACTGTTGCTGTTTGACCACCCCGGGGCGCGTGGAGGGACTGTTGCTGTTTGACCACCCCGGGGCGTGTGGAGGGTCTGTTGCTGCTTGACCACCCCGGGGCGCGTGGAGGGACTGTTGCTGTTTGACCACCCCGGGGCGTGTGGAGGGTCTGTTGCTGCTTGACCACCCCGGGGCGCGTGGAGGGACTGTTGCTGTTTGACCACCCCGGGGCGTGTGGAGGGTCTGTTGCTGCTTGACCACCCCGGGGCGCGTGGAGGGACTGTTGCTGTTTGACCACCCCGGGGCGTGTGGAGGGTCTGTTGCTGCTTGACCACCCCGGGGCGCGTGGAGGGACTGTTGCTGTTTGACCACCCCGGGGCGTGTGGAGGGTCTGTTGCTGCTTGACCACCCCGGGGCGCGTGGAGGGACTGTTGCTGTTTGACCACCCCGGGGCGTGTGGAGGGTCTGTTGCTGCTTGACCACCCCGGGGCGTGTGGAGGGACTGTTGCTGCTTGACCACCCCGGGGCGCGTGGAGGGACTGTTGCTGTTTGACCACCCCGGGGCGTGTGGAGGGACTGTTGCTGTTTGACCACCCCGGGGCGTGTGGAGGGACTGTTGCTGCTTGACCACCCCGGGGCGCGTGGAGGGACTGTTGCTGTTTGACCACCCCGGGGCGCGTGGAGGGACTGTTGCTGTTTGACCACCCCGGGGCGCGTGGAGGGACTGTTGCTGTTTGACCACCCCGGGGCGTGTGGAGGGACTGTTGCTGCTTGACCACCCCGGGGCGCGTGGAGGGACTGTTGCTGTTTGACCACCCCGGGGCGCGTGGAGGGACTGTTGCTGTTTGACCACCCCGGGGCGTGTGGAGGGTCTGTTGCTGCTTGACCACCCCGGGGCGTGTGGAGGGACTGTTGCTGCTTGACCACCCCGGGGCGCGTGGAGGGTCTGTTGCTGTTTGACCACCCCGGGGCGCGTGGAGGGTCTGTTGCTGTTTGACCACCCCGGGGCGCGTGGAGGGTCTGTTGCTGTTTGACCACCCCGGGGCGCGTGGAGGGTCTGTTGCTGTTTGACCACCCCGGGGCGCGTGGAGGGGGGACTGTTGCTGTTTGACCACCCCGGGGCGCGTGGAGGGTCTGTTGCTGTTTGACCACCCCGGGGCGCGTGGAGGGTCTGTTGCTGCTTGACCACCCCGGGGCGCGTGGAGGGACTGTTGCTGTTTGACCACCCCGGGGCGCGTGGAGGGTCTGTTGCTGTTTGACCACCCCGGGGCGCGTGGAGGGTCTGTTGCTGCTTGACCACCCCGGGGCGTGTGGAGGGGGGACTGTTGCTGTTTGACCACCCCGGGGCGCGTGGAGGGTCTGTTGCTGTTTGACCACCCCGGGGCGCGTGGAGGGTCTGTTGCTGTTTGACCACCCCGGGGCGTGTGGAGGGTCTGTTGCTGCTTGACCACCCCGGGGCGCGTGGAGGGTCTGTTGCTGTTTGACCACCCCGGGGCGTGTGGAGGGTCTGTTGCTGTTTGACCACCCCGGGGCGCGTGGAGGGACTGTTGCTGTTTGACCACCCCGGGGCGCGTGGAGGGTCTGTTGCTGCTTGACCACCCCGGGGCGTGTGGAGGGTCTGTTGCTGTTTGACCACCCCGGGGCGTGTGGAGGGTCTGTTGCTGTTTGACCACCCCGGGGCGCGTGGAGGGTCTGTTGCTGTTTGACCACCCCGGGGCGTGTGGAGGGTCTGTTGCTGTTTGACCACCCCGGGGCGCGTGGAGGGTCTGTTGCTGTTTGACCACCCCGGGGCGTGTGGAGGGACTGTTGCTGTTTGACCACCCCGGGGCGCGTGGAGGGACTGTTGCTGTTTGACCACCCCGGGGCGTGTGGAGGGTCTGTTGCTGTTTGACCACCCCGGGGCGCGTGGAGGGTCTGTTGCTGTTTGACCACCCCGGGGCGCGTGGAGGGACTGTTGCTGTTTGACCACCCCGGGGCGTGTGGAGGGTCTGTTGCTGTTTGACCACCCCGGGGCGCGTGGAGGGTCTGTTGCTGCTTGACCACCCCGGGGCGTGTGGAGGGTCTGTTGCTGTTTGACCACCCCGGGGCGTGTGGAGGGTCTGTTGCTGTTTGACCACCCCGGGGCGCGTGGAGGGTCTGTTGCTGTTTGACCACCCCGGGGCGTGTGGAGGGTCTGTTGCTGTTTGACCACCCCGGGGCGCGTGGAGGGTCTGTTGCTGTTTGACCACCCCGGGGCGTGTGGAGGGACTGTTGCTGTTTGACCACCCCGGGGCGCGTGGAGGGACTGTTGCTGTTTGACCACCCCGGGGCGTGTGGAGGGTCTGTTGCTGTTTGACCACCCCGGGGCGCGTGGAGGGTCTGTTGCTGTTTGACCACCCCGGGGCGCGTGGAGGGTCTGTTGCTGTTTGACCACCCCGGGGCGTGTGGAGGGTCTGTTGCTGTTTGACCACCCCGGGGCGCGTGGAGGGTCTGTTGCTGTTTGACCACCCCGGGGCGCGTGGAGGGTCTGTTGCTGTTTGACCACCCCGGGGCGTGTGGAGGGTCTGTTGCTGTTTGACCACCCCGGGGCGTGTGGAGGGTCTGTTGCTGTTTGACCACCCCGGGGCGCGTGGAGGGCCTGTTGCTGTTTGACCACCCCGGGGCGCGTGGAGGGTCTGTTGCTGTTTGACCACCCCGGGGCGCGTGGAGGGTCTGTTGCTGTTTGACCACCCCGGGGCGCGTGGAGGGACTGTTGCTGTTTGACCACCCCGGGGCGTGTGGAGGGTCTGTTGCTGTTTGACCACCCCGGGGCGCGTGGAGGGCCTGTTGCTGTTTGACCACCCCGGGGCCCCGTGGCCTCTGTGCGACGGGTGGCTCGCTCCGCCGTTCCCAGAAATCAACACCGGGTGGGGGGGGGGTCCCACGGCCAGAAAGACGTGACCGTCAGCCAAGTGGGATTATAAAGTCGGAGAGCAATCGGCGTCTCGGCCCGGAGCGCGATGTGGGGGCGGTGTGCGATGGATGGCTCGTGATCAAGCGGTACCCCCGCCCCCCGACACATTGACCGCAGTTCCCCAGGTCGCTGCTGCGGTGGTGGTCTGGCTGCTGCGGTAAAGAGTCTCGGCACGCACCGTTTGACGGGTAAATGTTTCGTGAGTTTTTCTGAGTTTTGTTGTTGTTGTGGTCGTCGTTTGTTTAAGTCGTGGTGTGAAAGATGATGTTTGTCATCGGTCATCTTTGATGCGATCATCAGGCAATGAAACGGAAATAATATGGTTCGGATTTTCGAGCGAAAAACAATGACTTTGTTTTTGGTACTCGTCAAGTGGGATGGATACCGGAAGCGTCAAACTCTATACTTGCAACGTTTTGGCAGACGTGTGCGTCCACGACGATGCGTTGTTAGGACACGGCTTGGTCTCGTCTCCAAAGCCAAATGACTCCTGCAATCGTGACACCAATTGAACGATACCAGAAGCGGGGTGGGACTCCGGTGCATCACACCCACCGTTGCCTCTAAACCTGAACCAATCGTCGTTGTCCTTGTCAAACTGTTGTCGTCATCATCATCATCAAAGTGTCTCACTGATTTTCTCTCATAACGTACACAATTGCGAGGAGCCTCCACACACAATGCACAATCGATCCCCCGTCATAATCAGCAACCGACACACGCCCCTCGCTTAGAAAGCTCACCGCGGCTTTCTGCTTGAATGCCACGACCACCTCAGCCATCCTGTCCGTGGCGACCGCGGCCGCCACGGACGCGTGGCTGCCGGGCGGCACGGAGAAGCAACGGGCCGCCGCTTGGGAAGGCAGCAGCCAGGACCGGTGCCAACAATTTGGTCGAAGGCCTCTGGCCCTGCATGCGTGCCTCGACTTGTGTGGGACTAAGCCCGGTGTCGCCGGATAAAAACCTGTGGGTGCTTTGGGGGGTCAAGCCGCTCTAGCCCCCGTACAGATGGACACAGACGGAGATCAATCGACTTGTGCTACTGCTATCTTCCGGTGAGCCGGGGTATAACCACCTCGATGCCCACGGGGAAGGGAGTTTCGCGACATTTGCGCGGTGACCCATCAACCCCTCGCTGCTGGCTCCACGGTGCTGGGTTACAGACAGCCACGTGCAAAGCAGCAGCCACCGCCACCCACCCGGCTCTCACGCTGCACGTACATGCGTGTGTGCGGCATCCCACACGTGTGTCGGTGTAAGTTGTCAAACAACTCGCCTCTCATCGCATGGAGATCGTAGGTGCGCACGGTCTGATTACATTACCAGCCGGTGCTGGAGCTTTCCTTCATCGAGCCATTCTGAGCAGTGTGGTGAAGTATGGTCAAACAAACCCCCCCCCCCCCCCATGACGGACAGGGCCTTGGAGAGGCGTTCAGCCAAAGGGCTCTACATCATCATCATTGTCTTAATCTTGACCTAAAGCTTGCCAGTCTCCACTCCACGTGCCCTGAACTGCTGCGTGGTGACGTCACGTGTTGACGACCGCCGTCACGTGTTCACCACATGTATTGCGGCGATTGAAATATGGAGGGTTTTTTATTTTACCGAATTAGATTTAGAAAGTCTCTTGTTGTTGTTGTTTTGGTTGGCGCAACCCCTGCCCCTTGGCCGATTGTCAAACCTCTGTGTGTGCGTGCTCATAATCGGATATATATGGAGGACAACTCAAAATTATAAATAGACAACCACGTGATCTGTCAACATATCAGCTCGATTGCAGTAGAGACTGCTGCCCAGTCGTGTTTTTCTCGATACCGAGATAACATTCTACAGCGTGCAGGATGCGGCGCACGCTGCCACGCTCATGTTTCATGTTTCATGCGTGAATTTGCACGGCGCATTTCACCATTGGTTGAAGGAAAACACATTTCGCTGTACTAGTGCCGAGACATATGGCTCATTAATAAAACATGAGCATTTGTCACCGGTATAATGAACGACTTACTGCGACTGTTAGTGGTGTGAATCATTTTACCGTTAATAGCCCTGCCGTTTGTACGCGTTATCGTTTCATGAGCACCAGCCCAGCCGCGTGGCCTGGACCCACACTCTCACACAACACGTGTCACACTCGCACACAACACGTCCCACACTCACAACACATCCCACACTCACACACAACACATCCCACACTCACACACAGCACGTGTCACACACTCACACACAGCACGTGTCACACTCACACACAGCACGTGTCACACACTCACACACAACACGTGCCATGCCCGCATGATGGCTGAGCAGCATGGTGCATGCCCCAGTCACCGGGGCGGCTGCTCTCTATATGCTCATGCTGATCGCTGGTGACGAGGTCAGTGACAGACTTGACTTGAGGCTAATTACGAGGCAAAGCGTGCCCAGCGAGCAGCCCCTCCTGTCTAAGGGTTTGAAGGTCGCTCAGAATGCATCAACTGGGGCCGAAGCACTGTCCATGAACTATTCATGATAATCGAATCCGGGTATTAAAACCAATCGTTTTTAACGTCTACTCTGCTGTGTAGTGCACTTGATTGAGCATGTTTGCAGGGGACATTACAGGAAGCTAATGCATGACAAATTATGTCGCCAAATGGACGTATTGGCGGTACATTGATGCAGCGCAACGCGCCGGTGCTCATGAAACAGTCTGACCAAGTTGCCCTTGAGTGAGCTGCAGACTCTCCATCAGAAGCTGCACTTCGTGTGGTGGTGACACCACGAGACGTAATCTTGTGATGCCACCGTCCGCCGAGTAATTATTTCGGAGATGAATCGAGGAACCGTCCGACCAAGTCGAGGGCCCGAGGAGTCAGATCTTGCCGCTGGAACACGGAGACAGCCAATCGTCATGAGGCTGGGTGCTGCCAGACGGCAACAGACTGTGAAACTCCGTGGTCAGCCAGCCGCTCGTTATAAACATTCGTCTTCCGATGGCTTCGACTGACTTTGACGCACCACCACTACCACCCCGCAACATTTTCTGACCGGGGTTGCAAATCGCGGGAAAAGAAAGAATGATTGCGAACATTTGGCTTTTATTTTATACACCTACATGTGTAAACCACCAGATACGTTCGTATCAGCTCCACGATAGGTGACGGTTACTACTGGCACGGTCCCTCCTCTGGTGTCCCAACAAGCGAGCGAACGGTGACGCAGCCCAGCCATAGCACCATTTGTTGCAAAGGTTCACGGTTCGATTGCAGCGGCCGCCCTGGTTATTGCCGCGTCCACCGTAAACATCACTTGGCGCCATATGCTTCGACAGCGGGCGTTTAAGAACCCGTGACGTCGTTCATAAAAGCAGGCCCCTACGGTGTGCAGGTGTCGCGGTCCAAACACTTCCCATATCTGAGAAATGATCTGCAAATTACTCAATCGTGATTCTGCATAGAAATCGTCAACCCCCCCCCTCTTTTACCTCCCCCCGCCCCCCCCGACTGTTAAAACTTGGCAGGGCCTTTCTTAAAAAGAGTTTTGGGACTCGGCAACAGTTTCCTGTGTGACCTCGCGTCCATGATAATAATAATAATAATCAAAGTGCGGTAGCGCTCCACGTGATGGCGGTGAGTGCTGGTGAGTGGTGCGTGACGCTGCGGTCGTGAGGGTGGGACCAGCAGAGGCACCACGGCTCCGAGAGGTGCTGTTGGGATCGGTGCTGCGAAGCGGAGCTGGCTTCTGGGGAGTGGACGCTCCCGTGGCCGCTCGCGGTCGGATCGTCGCCTCGGGCGTTTGCCAGGAAGGGCCGTGCGGCCCGTCTGAGTGACGATTCGTGTGCCCGATGGGGGTTTGTAGTAAACGCGTTTGTATTTCACGTGGGGAGAGAGACACGGAGATGGGACGAAGACTTTATTTCGTGATTACGCTTCTCCACGACAACGCTGGATGATGATTGGTTGTTGCCCATCAAAGAAGTTCTCTGCATTCGAACTCTACAGTTAATTTGGCACTCATACGTGGCATATGATAAAAAAAAACCTTCCAAGCTTTTGTGACTTTTTTTTTATTGGGCCCTGCCCCTTTGTTTTTGGGTTGAGCTTTGTATCTTTCCTGGGGTCTCCGTTTCAGTGGAGGCTCGTTATCCCAATGGGCTGGCTGCTCATGGCCGGTTTGGCGAGGGATGATGTTTCAAAGTTTTTTTTCTGACTTTGACGACGGCTAATGACACCCATCGTAATCTCAGCTATGTGGCTCTTCTACGGATTACTCAAAACTATTGGCGTTGGTAATGTCAAATCAATTGTTCCCACGGCCCTGCTCCTCGTTAATTGCACGATTGAATGGTGGGTAGATATGAATCTTACAGGGTATTTACTCTTTATTACGAGGAGATCTTTAACTCGCAGATGATGAACGTGCATCTTGGAGCCGCGATTGTAAATCAATGCGTGCTTCCTTCCTACACTCCCTTGGCCTTTTGGACCATTGGGGCACGACTGATTCCCCTCCCTGCGGGGTCTTCTCCACTTCTCTTCGTCCTCTGCTGCGCCCCTCAACTGAGACAACTTCCATCCTGTCCAGTGTTTGGAGTTTGACGCCCAGTCAGATCGCGGTGTTCCTCTTCGCCGAGCTTCTCCCGTTGTTCCCTCCGTCACCGACCTCGGCATCCGGGCACCATTCAAGCCCCGGTCACGCCTCCGGCATCTTGCGGCCTCCTGCACGTGGCCTCACTCGGCAGCCTCTCGTCTTCGTCTTGATTTCTTCAAGATTTCCTCGTTTTGTTCGCGTGCATCTGTAATAAGATGTTTGAAAAATACTCTGCGTGTGATTTCCCGTGTTGCACTTTGCCTGTTGTACTCCTTGTGATGAATGCGTGCGTACGTATGTGGCACTTCTTTCGCACAGTACGTAGCCAACCGCGCTCATCGGAGGTGTGGAGGAAGGACAACACAAACTAATCACAAAAATCAGTTTCAAAGAAATGAGTTTTCAATCGAGATTTAAAAGTGCATAGCTCCAGTGGCTTCCTAATATCAGAAGGAAGTGCGTTCCAGACGGCCACAGAAGTGTATCCGAAGGCGTGCGATGCAGTGACAGTCTTTGTTCGATGGCCAGCCAAAGGCCGCTGTGAGGATGACCGGCGTTCGCGCGATGGTTTATGCTCCTTGACGAGCTCAGCAAGATATTGTGGTTCATTTGTGATGAGTGC